GCATGGTGGTGCTTTGTTTGTTTGTTTATTTGTTTAAGAATTTTTTTAATACAGCATTTATGGGTAGAATCTGTAAAGATGAGACAAGGAGGCATAATTGAAGAGGTGTCTTACAGAGGACTAGGTTGGATTTTTTTTTTTTATTTTATACTGTGGCATGACCTTGGACACACTGTTCAACTTCATTTTCCTTCCTGTAATGAGATTTCTAATACCTCAGTACCTACCTGGTGGAATGGTTAGGAGAATTTGGGACATTGTATCTGTTAATTGACATACTGATTATGCATTTTAGAAAGCATTAGCTTTTCTTGTTAATGCTTTACATTACATGTAAATGCTGAGGTAATCTAGTGCCCTCATCATCATGGAGGGCAGGGTTAGAGGGAATAGACATGGCCTCTCTTTTCATCTATTATACAAGCAGTATGCTGTGGGGAAACTACAGGCTTTAGAAGCAGATAGGAGGCAAGTTACTCTCGTTTCTCCTGAGTTGCTGCATCCATCCATTGAATGGAGGGATAGTATGATATCAAATGACACAATTATATAAGTGTCTAACAGAATATTTGCCTCCCTAGCTTAACAAATGGTAGTTTCTTTTACACCTCCTGTCTACATGTACCTGTCTCTCTCACCTGCTATTCTTTCTTCAGATGGCATGACTTCAGATGGTATCAAATAATCCCTTTGCTGGGCCCACCATACTAGCAGTAGGTCTAAATACAATGATTGTGTTTGGGTCTTTATCCTCTTTTCACTTTTTATCCATTTCTTTAGACCATTTAATTTCATGAATTAAATGTTAATTGAGCAACTATTATATGTCAGGGATGATGGGACTTACAGTAATTAATGCAACAATGCTTGCTATCAGAGTTCACAGAGTAGTCAGAGAATGACACAGTCCAGAAGGATTAGATTATAAGACAGACATTTTATGTGCTGTAAAACAGGTGAAAGGAGGTCGAGGTGCAGTGCTAATGCCGATGACATCTGAAATGGGGGAAAGCTGGTGAGAACTGGAGGCAGCTCCATGGAGGAGGTATGCTTGGAACAGTCTTGGGGGCTGGGAGGTCTCTCTAAGTAGAGGTTATGGGGAGGAACTACAGGCAGAGGAAACATTCTGAGGAAAAGCAAGGGAGTAGAGGCATGTGAGACATATTTGGGGCATGGTGACAGTCGAGTTTGGCTGGAGTATATGATATGTGAAGGGAAATAATCGGGAATCAGGGTGAGGCATTATTGTTAAGAGTCTTTAATGACAGGATAATAATTTTGTACTCAATTTGATTTGCAATGAGGAAACACTGAGAGCTCTCTTGGAGCAGGAGTGTAGGTAACATGACAAGGAAGATACAATAAGTTGTATCAGAAGTGATGTTTACATGTGGCTCTAACAGCATCACATAATGGTATTTATCTGGTTCTTTGATGGCTAATGTGGGAGAGTTCCAAGTTCTAAGTCAAGAGGACAATGAGGACACAGTGGAGGGAAAGCTTGATAATCATTTGAAAACAGATTAATACAGGCTACTATGAACAGAAGATACAAATAGGGGAACTTGGGAAAATGACATTAAAGCATCCTTATGGAATGTTGCCCATTGATATCAATGATACTGTTTTCTATTTGTAAGGCTATCAAACAAAGAGTTTAAGTGAGTTTACTTTTATTTCTGTTACTTTGGAGTCAGGTTTCATAGAAGTTTCCTGTGCTGTTAAATTTTTTTTTCTTGTTGGTAAAATACACAAAACACAAAATTACCATTTTAACCATTCAATGTATTCACATGCTATGCAGTCATTACCACTATTTGCTTCCATAAATTTTATATCACCCCAAAAAAGGAACCTGTGATTTTTAAGTTGTCAACACCCCCTTTCTTCTTTCCCACCAACCCTTAGCAAATACAAGTAGGTCAGTAGATAAACAAAATATGGTGTGGTCATAGAATATTATTTAGCCATAACATAAGCTACAACATAGTGAACCTTGAGAACATTATATATTGTATAACATTTTAATTTTGTGTTTCTATTTCAATGTTAGCAAAGCTGCCAGTTGTAGACTCAATTTTTATCCTATGCAGTGATCACTCGTGATTGAAAATATTTCCAAAGATCATAGCAATCGCATTTCAGCTTAGCAATTTTTATTTGTTTATTATTTATATTATATTAAAAACTAGAAACATCCCTGATTGTATTTCTCTACATTTTAAAAGAGCTAATATCTGCAATGCCCCTAACGTCATAGTGTAGTCTTTTATCGTTATCTATCTATCTATCTATCTATCTATCTATCTATCTATCTATCTCTATTTATGGAAGTAACATTGCATTATCACAGTATATGAATTTCCAGAGCTCATTGTTGACAACCAATGGTGAGTAGATATACTACATTAAGTTCTCCACTAAAAGTGCAGATCTATCCTTTGCCATATATATAAATATATACCTACACACCAGAGAAAAGGGAATAATGGTATATATATATATATATATATATATATATATACCATTATTATATATATACCATTATATATATATATATATACATATATACACACACACACACACACACACACCATTATTCCCTTTTCTCTGATTTGCCCATCCACCCAGCTTCTAACTTAGTGATTCTTGAATAGGGCAAACTGGGAGAATTTTTTATGTATTTTAGACATTTATGACACTACTTATATCTTATAAAAGGTATCCATGCATTCCTAGAGTTTGAAAAACTCTGAAGTTACTGTCAAAGATCACTTGAAGCAGGGAACCTCAAAGAATATCTTGTCCAACAGTTCCACCTTAAATGTTTCAAGAAGTCAACATAGTAATGTGAAGGCAAGACACCATCTGGCTGGGTGTAAGACAAGAGGGAGTGGTGGGAACTGCAGCAAGCTGGGAAGTGCATGCCTCACCTAAGGAGGGATCCCTCTATCAATTTTGGTTTTTTTTTTTTTTAATTAATAAATTTTATTTTTATATTCCCCATACAATTGCAATCCCCCCATTCTGACCCCAATAGCCATCTCTCAATTAGCAGATTTTAGCATCTTGTTCAAGAAAATTCTAAAAGCACTGTGGGCAAAACAAACAAATCTGCAGGAGTCAAGTAATGATCTATGCTGGAACACATAATATATAGATATATCTGGCTTGAATTCCAATGCCACCTTTATGGTCCTGTGATTTTTCAGCATATTCCTTAAATGCTCTGAGTCCCCTTATCTGCAGGATGGGTCTAGTGCCATTCCTTCTCTGATAGAATTTTCAGGAATATAAAGCATTAACATAGTATTGGCAGGGTCTAAATCAATAAGATTAGATATGTTTATCAGTTGATTGTTGATAATGAAATGAATGGCATGGATTCTAACTGTTTCTTGACTAATTTGGAGGTATTGCATTAACTTCAGGGGAGCTAGGTGAAATAATCCTAATAGTGATTTAGGGTGACTTATGTTGAATGTGACATAGGAGAGTGTCTGAGATGAGTCACACTCAACAGCTGTGTGACTGTTGTCAACTTACTTAATCTCTTTCTGCAAGTTTTCCCACCTTTAAAATAGCAGCAATGCATAGTTATTACCTTCTTCAAAGAGTGGTTGTGGGGATTACATATGAATATTTATAAGACACTTACAACAGTTCCTGGGCACCTAGTAAGCATTGCACAGGTATTTGTTAAATAGTTATAATAACATATTACACACACACCACACACACACATTTCATTGAGATTGCATTAGTTTACAACAATATGTTTTAGGAGTACATGCCCACACCTCTTCAAATGTGTGTTATCATGCCATGTCTACCCCAAAGTTCCAATAACCCACCTCATCAGTGAATAGTCCCCCTTCTACTCCTTGCTCTCTCACTTTCCCTCTCAGGTAACCTCAGTTCTGTAGTCAGAATCCAAAGATTTTATTGTTGTTACTTTTTTGTTTCTTTCTACTCCACATATGAGTGAAATCATTTGATATTTGTCTTTCTCCATCTGACCTATTTCACATAACCTCGTCCCCTCTGGTTTGAGTCTCATGGTAACAAATGCCAAGATTTCAATCTTTTCTTTCTTTTTTTTTTTAATAGCTCAGTAGTGATCATTGCAGCACTATTTACAATAGGCAAGATATGGAAACAAGCTAAGTACCCAACAATGGGTGATTGGATAAAGATGCTGTATGTACTGTTGGGATTTTAAATAGTTTTAGAATGTGCTAGCCTGAGCTGTCTGTGTTGTGATTTAAGAAGGATCTGTGGCCCACACCAACATTTCCAGCTTATCTGGATACCTCTGAGAATGTCAGACTTGCTCAGGAAGCTAAATGTTTTGCATTTTACCTTCAGCTTATGATTATTTCATGGGCAGTTTTTCTTGTTATTTTAATGGTTTTCTGGTTTTAGGCTTAAGTCATAACTTTTCTAGGAGATAAACAAACTTCTTTAAATCTATGAGAGTTCTATGGGACAAGTTACGGTGAGAAAAAATACTGGGCTGAAGCTAAAGCTCAATTTATGACTCTGGGAAGTCACTTTTCTCTGCTTCCCACAATGTAAAATAAGGTGTTAAGCTTTTGTGTGTATTACTGGAGTCTCTCCCCAACTTCTTAAAATTTGCATATTAATGACACCACTAATATATACCCAAGTGGCAGTGGAGCTGCTCTGGGGTTGGACCCTGTTAGCTCTTCCCTCTTGGACTCATTCTGTCTCCCATTCTAGGCTCTGAGACATCTCAGTGGGATCTCCTGGGGCTTCCTGAAACTCCTAAAAACCACTGTGTGAGGTGAGGCTCTTGATTTTCAGCTAATAGTCTGTGATTCTAAAAAAGTAAGCATTTTTTTCAAATTCTTCTTCTTGCATAATAAATAAAAATAAATATATACATAAACGTGTACTTTATAGACACTTGGGGACTTTGCTATTTAACTAGACCCCTTGGAAAATGAAAAATTCTATTGTAATGTGAACAGCCACTCCCTACTCTCCCTGTTACCTACATTCTCTGCTTTTCTCAAAGTGGGACACGGTTGATTTGAAACGCAGTAGAGAAAACTTAGGACCATCACTTTTTGTTCGGTTTCTACTTTTTGAGTCACTGGCATTTGTCATTCTTTTTACCACTCTTCAAAATTGGGATAATCTGAAAGAAAGGATAAAAGCTTCCATTAAAAAAAAAAAAAAGGTATCTGAAATTTCACAAAGTATGCTGGCATCACAGCATTCCATGAATATTTAATCATCAGCAGCAAGACAGGAGGTTGGAGAAAAAAATCAGGTTGTGATATTTGGGAACAGCAGGTGTGGGAAGGAGGGTGTTGACACCCTCTGAGAACGGATATGGCACACTGTGTGGCAGGTTCCCTCTGCAGTCCCCACGTCACCTGGGGTCCCACACGTGCTTTAAGGAAACTCGAGGCCAGAGAATTAAGACTGTTCTCCAGTGGACTCATGCAAAGAGCATGTGAGGGGGGCAAGTCCCTACTCGAGTGTTAGTTCCGTTGTCACCCCTTGTCACCAACCCCCTTCTCCGTGGGCCTGCAGGCATACCTACTGGGCCCAGCTTCACGTAACATTTGCAAGCAAATGTGTATTTATAGTTTTACATGTTTGTCTATACACACACACACACACACACACACACACAATCATATTCTAGTTATGGGTTCTGCACCTTCTTTTCCCTTTCTTTAGAATAGACTGAAGCTCTTTTTATCAGTACATAAAGGTCTGCCTCATAGTTTTCATGAGTAACACAGGATTTCATTGTGTGACTGCACCATTGTTTGAATAACCATTGCCCCACCAATAGGTATTTAGTTTCCATTAGATTTTTTTAAATTTTTAATAATTTATGTTTTCATGCTAATTTTATTGTTTAAGCTAATTAGCATTCTTTTTGCGTTTCTGAGCCACCAAATGTTTGCAAGGAGATGTGGTGTGAAATCAGTAATTGAGTCGGCTATCTTGTAGCCATTTCCATGGGGGCGGACCCTTGTCAGGAAGGGAACAATCATGTGGGACAAATGGTATTTAGTCACAGGCAAGCTTTTCCCATTGATTCTTCACTAAATGTAGATGAAATTCTATTTATTTAACAACTTATTATAAAAAAAATTCTAGGGTTGGGGAGAGCCTCATAGCTGCCTCCCTGATGCTTGGAGAGCCATGCGACTTCTTCTCTTCATAAAACCTTCCAACTTTCTCTTTTGGGAGACTTCAAGTAGCACAGCCAACTCAGAGCCCAGTCCTTTTGCTTTTTTCCCCCTATTATTGTTGTTGTGACATTATTATGTATGTCCATGAGAGTATAGGCATCCAGATGGAAAATGTTGAAATTCAGAGTTCACCCAAGAACTCAGAACCTGCTGTCAGGTGTAAGGCAGAAACAAAAGGGCTGTGGCCACCTATGTACAAATTACCTGGCTTCTACTTTATCACCCACTCCATACTGCCTCCAGTCCAGTGTTCCAGGTGCACAAGTTTCACCACTGCCTCCTCGCAGTGGATACTGTTTATCCTATCAGATCTGCTCTTTGTGATTTCGCACTGCCTGTTCATATGGGACTTTTAGGATCAAGAAGGTATAATATTCTTAACTTCTTAACATTTTGGTGCATTCAGTTATATGGTATAATACATCTTAACATAGAGATTCCTGGGCCCATTCCCAAAGAGTTTAACCTCAGAAATCAAGTATAAGCCTGGCAGTGTGCACTTTTGACAAGAGGTTCTTAGGCAGGGAGCCCAGGGACTGCCTGCATGCTGTGCTACCATCGGGGTTGTCTTTCCTGGGCTTGGGACTGAGAGGTACCTTAGTACAAAGTTCTGTCCTGAGTCTGAACTCATGAGGCCAAACTGTGGGCTTTGGTTCTGACAGCCATAGAGTGTTACCAATGTGCAAAATCCCTTATTTTGCAGGATGTGAGTAGGTCAGACCTAAGACAGACACAAGGAATACTCTCTCTCTCCCCCCATGTGATCTGGTTAATAGTCTAAGCTGCAACCTGGTCACAATTTACAAGAACTCATCAAATATCATAAGGGAATCACTGAGCATGGTCCCCAACACATAATTTGGATGAAAGTAAAGAACAGACTTCATGGCCTTGAGTTCAAGACTCTCAATAATGTGGCCTTCACCTTGTTACAGAATGTTACAGAATTCAAGTGTCCTGACTTAGGAGTGGTGCTCAGTCTACACTGAATCATTCAGAAATGGGAGCCTCATTGCCCAGGACCCCTCCTGGGATACTAGGGGCCTGCCTGCATGCTCCTGTTACCTCAGAGTAGTAGCCCTCTCTATTTGGATCAGGAGAACCTACAGTAGCTTCCTCTTCGAATCATCTCCTAGGCTTAGGACTCCATTTTTTTATTTGAATTGTTTTGTTGTTCTCATTATTTTGCCACACCAATGTAGGTTCTAGAATATAATCTCACCCTGAAAACTGGTCTTTTAGTCTTGACATTGGTATAGAGGGGAATCATAGATTGGGCTTAAAATTTCAACTCTGAAAGAAGCCTCTCTTTGAGCAACCAAACCTCTTCATCTTGTTGACCAGGAAGCCAAAGGCCAGAGAGGGAAACTTTCCCAGGGGTATAGCTAACTAAATACACCTAGAGAGTTAATAAACAAGACTCCACAGGAACTCTCCATACCTACACAGACGTGGGAGTCCTTTATACCCCCTTCCTTTGATTTCTTCCCTGCAGGGACATGTGCAATGACAGCCTATTTGAAGAAATGTGGGTAGGAGAAAAGAACCAATGGGAATCAGCTTATCTTCTGTAGCTGTGGAGTAGCAGGCTCATCTTCTAATTTGGCTGGTCCCTGCCTTGGGTGCCACACTCGGTATGAGAAAGGAGTAGGTTCTTCCCCTATGGATCACAAATAAATAAAAAGGAGAGGTAAGCCCAAGAATGAATGCTGGCAGCAGCGTGGGAGAGCAGTTTCTGTGTGAACCTGGGTCTCTCCATTCTCTAATCTGAAGTGATTTGTTCCACTGATAGAAGCTGATGGCTGCCTCAGGTCTACTCTTGGATGCCAGCCTGCAGTGTGGTGTGGGGAGGTGACTAGATGGTTTCTCCATCTATTCCAAGGCAGCCCATGTTTCCTCCTGAGCTCAGTGAGCAGGGTGGAGTCCCATGTGCTTAGCAGGATGGTGAGTCATGCCCAGCATGAGTCAGGCACCCTGTTCCATGCAAGAAGGGAAAGGTTGATAAGGCTAGAGCCTGTGGCAAGTTTCCTTTTTTTCCACCTTGTCCTTTCTTTGATTTTCTATGTGTAAGGAAGGTCATTCCATGGCATGGCCTGCCATGGTGGGGGCCCTTTGCTCTGCTTTTCATGATTGTCCAAGGTGCACCATTTTTTTCCATTAATGCCTTTTAGTTCTGGTTTGCTGTGCAGGAGAAGAGGTGTAAAAATGGGGGCAGGGCTGTCTGCCTACTTTGTAAGCCTCAGTGCAAAATAAAAAGGCAGGGCTCTTCATTCAAAAATAGGAAGAATTTTAAGATGGTGAAAAACAAAACAAACCAAGCAGAAGATCTGTCTGTACTCAGGGGCTTGTGCAACTGCTTGGAGTGCACACCCAGATATCACCCTGGGTGGGGCTGAATCAGGGAGGGGGCTGTGGATCTGGGTGGAGAGTGAGATGCGACTTTGCTGGGTCCATAGACACCAGACTACCACCTCAAACCAAAGCCCCAAACAACCAGAATTCCTCTCTAGCTGCTGAAATGTGAACAATGGCTCAAGTGTTAGCATAGCTTGGTGCCCAGACAGTTTCTAGCTATTGCACTTAGATTCTATGGCAGTCAAGAGCAGACCTAACTTGGTGAAGGAGAAGCTGGCCAAGATTGGAAAGGGGATTGGCTGAAGGGCACAGCACCTATTAGAGGTGGTTAGAGACTAAATTTCAAGTCTTCTAACTTCCATATCCTTTTTAGACCTTGATGAAGCTGAACAACAATGCAATTGTTCTCTCTCATTGTGGGTTAAATTGGAACTTGGAGAGCAGAGTGAGATGCAGGAAGGGAAATGAGATAAATGATAATTGACTAGAGAAAACAAAACAGTTTAGAAAGTCAAAGCAGTTTGTGTGAGTCCTATCTGATGCACAACATACAGCAAAGCAGACAAATGTCTGTGCAGCAAAACAAAACTGCAAAAGAAGATATTTTCAAATAAAATACACATATTTCCATCCAGCCTTGAGCTCATCTGATAAGGGACAGATTGTCCAGAGTAAATAGAGAGATGAAAAAAGATGCTTTGGGCTGAATTTAGTCCCCTGTCAAAATCACAGGGGAACTTATTGCTTCTTTTCTCCTGCTTGTCATCTCTCCAGCTGCAGGGCCCCATAGCGCTGTGAGGGGAAAGAGAACAGTTTGTCTATCCTTGCATTTGGTCATCTGTCCATCCATTGAGCATCTCTGGAGTGCCTCTCCATTGGCTTTGCTCTGCACTAGATCATAAAGGGAAAGTTGAGACACAGTCCCTACTTTTAAAAAAAGTGGGCAGAGAGGCATCAGGGGAAAAACCAAGCACAATAGAGTGATTCTAGTGGTGCGTGCTCTGTGCTATTGTAACTCAGGAGGAGGAGGAATTCATGCCACTTAACTTTCTCAGTTGATAACCTGCCTGCAGGCTGGTTTGCTCCATCAATTGCTGTTGGTATCTATTCGTCATCACTGTGCTCCTCTTTCTCAAAAGACTCTGGGGAGGGGCTATGTCTGGGGACATAGGATGTGGGATTGTGATAGATAGTATTGTTTGCTAATGCCTGTCAGGTAGCAATCCTTCTCTGCACCATCCACTGGTCTGCCTGGACAGGGGATGGGTGGAGGTGGTTCAGGTCCAGACCTGGTGAAGATCAACACTATCTTGTGCTATCTCCTGCCAATGTGCTCCCCAGACATGTATGCAAGAAAACAGCCCGACTAAAGCTAAGGAGAAGGCCAGCTGTGGGAACATCAGGGTGTTGCTCTGCCCCATCTGAAAAGTGGCAGGAGGGCAGGAGGTCTAATAAAGCAGTGTTTCCTAATTCAAATAAGTAACAACCTGCATTCTCTCTCAGTAATAGCAGAATTGAAATCCAGGAGGAAATAGAATGAATTGTAAAGGTTGTCATGGATAGAAAGTGAAGGGACAAGATACAGAGTGAAATAATCTCTAAGTGCCAATCTAGGAAAAAATATCTGAGAAGCTTTGCTCCTCAGCTCTTGAGCTTGGCATTCACTAGGAGACCTGTACACAGCCTATGATATAGCAGGAGATGGTTGACATGGCATGAAGCCATGTGTCACCATGACCCAGCATAAGGGTGCTTCACATTCACACAGTGGCTAACACCTATGAAGTCTGCATCATTTTCAGAATCTCATTTTCTTCTTCAACAACCAAGGAAGGTGAGTGGAGACTTCAATTCTCATTGTAGAGAAGGGACACTGAGGCTGGGGAAGACTTAGCTACTTGTTGCTGATGTTAGGGAATGGCAGGTGAGGGACCAGAACCCAGGATTTCAGTATGACATCATTTCTACTGCTTCTTTCCCTCCTGGATGTATTGTTCTCTACTCCTTGCATGACCAGGTGCATGGGTACAACGTGACAGGAAGGGGGCAGGATCTGGGAGGAGTGTTCAGGGGACACTGGAAACCTAGTGATAATTAGATAGTTAACATGTGAACTTGTTATGTCTTTTCAGTCTCTTGCCCTTTAAAGCAACATACTTCAAATAGCAATACTTTGGTTGTTCCAATCTTCAGAGACCAGGCTGGGATCCAGCATTTCTGGGCACCTCCCTCCCTTTTTGCCCCCATCCTGAGCCATCATAAAGACACTTGGAGCTGAGTGGGAACAGTATTTTGTCTCACAATTACTCCTAATTGCCCTGCAGTTTTGTGGCTTATAAGTGGTATGACCTAGATACTAGCTATGTGAAATTTTCTTTTCATCCTGGGGTCTGTATAAAGGAGGACTTAAACCAGTTACAGCAGGTAACTGTGGCTCAGTCCATCTGACAATTAACATTTATATCCACTTCTACCATCAGCATTTATTGAAGTGCCAACTCTACTCAAAGCCCAGATCAAGACACTCTCCTCCTCTATGAAGGCTTTCTGGATTTCTCCCTCTGTGAATCTTTTCTCTGAAGTCCCCCTTCTGTGGTGCTCATCACAGTCTACATATTTCATTTTCCTTCTGCCAGAGACTATGTCTAGTTCATTTTTCCTTATCTACTCTGAGAGTTCATAATGGTGAAGGTAGTTGCTCATTTAACTATTTGTTGAATATATCTTGATATATATATATTCATATGATATGAATATAGTTCTTGATATATCCTCTACACTGTGGAGACATATAAACAGTGAACTCACTGAAACCTCTTCTAGGTGCCTGAGTTAAGGTGGCTGTGTGAAACTTATTTCCCATGATTCTCTCCAGGACCTCAGCATACCTGAACTGTGTACAACAGTTCTTTTGATACAAGGTCTGTTTTTATTTTAATTTTTTTAAAGATTTATTTATTTATACAAGCACTGGGTACAGTCAGAAGCGCCGGAGGGTGAGAGAATTCACCAGAGCCAGAGAGGGGAACAGAACAGGCAGACTGACGAAACACACTGCTGAGGGGAGCAGCGGGTGTGGCAGGAGAGGTCTGTCGCGCCATGTGGGACCCTCTCCAGCAGCCGGGGATTGAACCAGTGCTGCAGAGGCAGCTTCATAGCCCAGCGCTCAACCGCTGTGCCACCAGGGAAGGCCCCTGTTTTTATTTTTAATGAGAAAAGTAACAACATGGAATCAAACCAAGCTAGTCCTTCAGGGCACCCCAGTTTCTCCAGTCATCAAGTAAATACAGTCTCTGACTTGGCCAGAGTTTGCTGAAAGGAATAGACTATGCAGGATGGAAAATTGAAAATTCAATTACACATATACAGCACTTTCATTTCTTTCCTCTCCTTTCTTCCAACAGTCGATCTTAGGCCTTAGGCCAGTGACTGTGTCTAGTTCATTTTTCTTTCCTTGTCGCCTCTGAGAAAGCTGAGAATGGCCAAGATAGTTGCTCAATTAATTACTGGATGAATGAAAGCATAAACCAATTATGTCCTAGACACTGTGGACCCACTAAAGACACATGGACAGAACAATTGGCACTTTCCATTTACTCTCCAAATAGAAAACTCTTACTTGGGTATAAAAATTGATTCATTAAGATTCCAGTATGTTTCGGGCCTCCCCTGGTGGTGCAGTGGTTGAGTGCTGGGTTGCGAAGCTGCCTGCAGCCTCTGCAGCGCCGGTTCGATCCCCGCTGACAGCGAACATCCCACATGGCGCACAGACCTCTCCTGCTGCGCCCTCTGTTCCACTCAGCAGTGTATTTCATCAGTCTGCCTGTTCTGTTCCCCTCTCTGGCTCTGGTGAATTCTCTCACCCTCCCGTGCTTCTGACTATGCCCAGTGCTTGTGTAAATAAATAAATAAATCTTTTTTTAAAAAATTACGGTATGGAAATTAGGGGCGTGGGTTCCCCACGACGGTGGGGCACAAGGCAGACACAGCACCCCAAAGCCGTTGAGGTGTACCCTACCATCCCCGCTCTGCTCCCTGTCCCACGGGGTGGAAAATCAGCTCCCCAAGGGCTCTAGGAGAGATCTCTGGTGCCACCTAGCGACTTGACCCCAGCACAGGCTACTGAAGGAGCTAGTGGCCAGCTGGGGAGTTAGCCCACACCGGGCCCCTTCTGAACAAGTAGTCTGAGCCCACAGGGAGAGCGAGCACCCACAGCCGGGGCAGACCAGGCGCGCAGAGTAGTGTGCCTGAGACCAGAAGCGCAGGGAGTGTGTCCCACATCACCATTTTAGAACAGGGACATTT